TTGTTCACCTTGTTCGAGCTTAGATTTATGCTTCTTACAACAGGCAGGGTTTTGCCTTGGAGGTAAGCAGAGCTGTCAGGCATACCGGGTTCAATCCGCTTGTCTCCACATACTGCTGTTTGTTCTGTCATCTGCAGTTGCTTGTATGCCACTGATATGGGATTAGAGGGCTATGTATCGATCTTAGAGATGTGTTGTCTCTTTCCAGGGTTTATGTTCCAGAGAGCTTCAGAGTCAGGCATGCTTGGTTTAAGCCATGCGCTGTTGAGGCTATCCAAATGCTTGCCTGATTTTTGCCAGACTGATGCCATCTCAGCTTATGAGTTGGGTCTTTGCCCGTACACACCTATCTTTGTATGTAGCAGAAATGCTCTCATTCACTGAGAGAACTCCACTATGCTTACAGCTCTTCGACACCTTCTCTCCGTCAAGATAAAAGGCCTCATCACCCAATCCTAGCATGAATTTCGACTTCTCTTTGTCTCTCATCAGCTGATACTCTTTCTCTGTGTCAGGTCCAAGTATACACCAGCATGGCCATCTATCTACAAGGAGAGAATCCAAATCGAGCCTGTTACAACTGTGGCTCCCTTGGGCATCTCAGAAACAGTTGCCCTGACCTTATTAACTGGTGTATCTATTGCAAAAGGAATGGCCATGCGGTTAGAGATTGCTTAAAGGCAAAGCCTTGTCAAAGATGTGATCAGAAGGGCCATAAAGCCGACAGGTGCCAAAACAGTCCTGTCGCTAGGTCGAACCCGGCTGCTGTTCAAACAGACCCATCACAGTCTTCTCATTCAGTTGAAATGGTAAGGTTGTGCCAAATCTCTCATTCAAACCTTCCATCTCTTACCGATAGCCGGCTTGTGGTCCAGACTCCTGTTAGATTCCCGACACTGCGAGATATGATAAATTTGTTGGCAACCAAACTCCAGGGAGATTTCGGTAGAGAGAGCTATCTTCGGCATATCCCATACACTGATGTCGTCTCTCTGTTTGACAGCATTGACAGTTTCACTGAAGTTTTGCTTGGCACCGTCGACTCAACAATTAGGAACCTGGAAGGACGGATAATCACAAGAAGTTTGTACGTTCAGTCGAGGATGGCTTGATGTGACAATAGCTGATCTATCAATCTTCTGATAAGACTTGACGAAGTACGACAAGCGCAGGCAAAGAATGAGACTCAATGGCCGCTGAACAGTGGATACCTGGACTACGTGACGGACGACCGCGACCCGGACTACTGGCGCCCATATGTAGGACAATCCAGCAACACCGAACAGCGCATTGCCCAGCATGTCAGGGCGATCAGGACCGGTGACACGGACACCCTTCATTATTTCGTCATTCGAAGGGGAGATGGGCACCGCACAGCAAACTTTGTTAGGCTATGGACACTTGCCCTACCAGAAAACGTCGATCCTGTCATCAATACCGCTCTCAACAACATCTTGGAGATGATAATGGCTCGATGCTTCCAATCACTTCCACCTGAAGAGTTAACGAGGGTATTTGGACGGCCACGTGATGGTTTCACTTACTCTTTCAGAGGGCTCAATCTCATCTCGCCTCTTCTCCAAGGACGCAGCCTATCGCCATGGGCCCGATACCAATCTTCTTTGCAGCTCCGACAGTCAACGGATGAGGACATCCGGGAATGGCCTGAAGCGCGCATGGAGCACAAGAACAAAGTCCATAATTTTCAGTTTCGATCCTTCTCGGAGTTCACAAGGAGGGACTGCGAGACAGCGATCCAAGAAGCCATCAATACCCACCCCCATTTGCGGTTACGGCTGGAGTGCTTCCAACGCAATGATAAAGATATTCTGGAACGTGGGATGACGGAAGCCATGGATTTCTCATGGTTGCAAGCAGATTTGGCTAAAACTCACTTGCCTGGTGATGAAACAAAGGAGATATCGCTTCCGATCGGCAACCACAATTCTCGCCTTGGTCTCATTCTTAATGAAAGTTTTTGGGGGGTTTCCAACGCCAAAAACGGGTCAATGCCTTCTCACCTTGCGCCATGTGGGTTGACGTATTCGAACTGTCTGGTATGGACTGCCGGCTTCCGGCGTTTAGTAACCCTACAATTAGGGACTCAGATCCGCACAGAGGCACCCTCAGGGATCCATATCCTTCGCTGCTTGAATCGTGAACTTGTTGCCAGAAGCCATTTGCAGGTGATCTTGGTATGTGACGAACAGGCTGAAAGAGTTCTTTTTCAAGGAAATCCATCGACGGATGCTTTTAAGCTCTATCTTCGAGGTCGTGCCTTCAAAGCATGGCTTGAAATAATGGAGGGTGGAAGACAATGCATTTATCTTGCCTCCCCTGCCCCATTGGTTGCTCTGTGGGGAAATAGCTGGGCTCAGGCCGCGGCATTGTCAGCGGTATTGCAATTTGCAATCCTGATTACGAACACTCGTGGGATACGACCAAATGTGTTCTGCTGTCAACTGGTGCTCCTCCAGATCATTCGCCAATACGACTGGGAGCGCAACGGCCACCCAAAGATGACCACCGACAATTTAGACCCAAACATAAGGTCCTGGCTTCAAGCAAAGGGTTTCAGAAATCACGAAGACATTGTGCGCCTAGAATCCTCAGCAGAATCGTTAACAGCGGCTCTGCTGATGCTCACGCAGATTCTCCCCAGGAGGATACACGGGGGTACGGAAAAAAGAAGCATGATGCTCCCTTCGATTAACAGAAGAAGAGGCATTTTTGACAAGGACCAGTTGGGGATAGTTCGAGATCTCTGGACAGAAATTTCAACTCGCAACAGCTCACCAGATAACTCTCTTCAGGTGTACAACGAGATGGACTTAATGGACGACGAAACGCTAGAAACCCAACAAGACCTGGAGCTGGAAAGTCTCCAGTGTGCGATGATCACTGATGATAAGAGGACCAACAACAGCTTTTCTCAAAACAGTCTTGCATTGCACTTGAACTCGGATGAGCCTTCAATGCCTCGAAAGCGAAAGGGCAGTACTTTGAAGGTGCAAATGGCCTTGCTTCAGGGAACCGTTAATGCCAAACTCGAATTCCGAGGGAAGTGTGCGCCTTTCAAATCATTCTTTCGAACCTATGCTGCAAGGTTGGATTTATACTTTCCGTACGATGGAGAGCTCAGGGCCACATTTCCTGATCCTAATTCTCTTCGAAGAGTCCGAATTAGGGCAGAAATCAAGCCCCATGGTCAAAAACACCCTCAACGATGGGCTTCCCATGCGACTAGCGAAGATCCGGCATCTAGGCTGGCGTTCCGATTAACTGTCATGGGCCCAGAAAAACAGGAATTCGGCTTCTATGCCTCTGGTCGCGGAGCAAAGCTCGTTAAGAAAGCAAACGGGTTCATAGACTGGATGTCTGGAGTCACAGATGAGGAGATAGCGACGAAGCCCCGCCGATATCTCAATATTCAGATGAGCCACGAAAAAGTCCCCGACGCCCTAAGACCATTTGTTGGAGGTGCATACACTGATGGCAATGGCAAGGTCATGTCTGGAGAAGATAAGAGTTAGATATCTGGACAATACTATGATTACTGGGCCTAGTTTTGTTTCTTTCAACGATGAGAACAATTAATGTGTAGACTTGCCATTTTTTTGACTTATACCTGGTCTACTGTTATCTCGTCGATTTAGGCTCGACAAGGCCGATAGAAGCGCAGGGTAGTACTGGGCGATGGGTAAAAAAGAAGGTAAAAAAAAGAAAAGAGACGACACCTCTGGGATTCGAACCCTGTTGTAGACTGTTAGAAATTGATATTTGATTATGTTAACGTAGTGGAACATACCAGGCGGGCGAACCCACAGGCTTAGCAGGCCTGCGCCTTAACCACTCGGCCAAAGTGTCAATGGGTAACGAAATGCAGGTTTCTTAAAATCTACAATCCGAAATAATAATGGCATCTGTACACTGTTGGGAAGAGTTTGAATATAATGTAAGTCTGATTGCGATGCGTAGGACTATTTCAAATGCTGTTCAAATCATCAAGACCAAACAATCTCGAAGAAGTTGACATCTCGTCGAAGACCTAGCTACTGTAGCCAGCGAGGGCTATCATCTGAGAAAATTTGATATGAGTAGGAGGAAGAAAAGATTGAGGAAATAAATAGAGACGAGCAAAAAGAAGAAAAAAATAACGGTAATCTTGGCTGGCCACACGAAACGCAGCCTTCAGTGGCGTTGATTTTTTTTTTTATTTCAAATAAAAAAAAAAAAAAAAAAAAACCGGTCCAAAGGGCCCACTACGGGTCCATTTAAGAACGACAATGGAAAGGTTTAAAAAAAGTATGAGACGACACCTCTGGGATTCGAACCCTGTTGTAGATTGTTAGATATTGATACTTGATTATGTTAAGAATAGTGGAACATACCAGGCGGGCGAACCCACAGGCTTAGCAGGCCTGCGCCTTAACCACTCGGCCAAAGTGTCTAATGGGTAATTTGCCACCAAAATTAAGCCTACTGAAGGCAATAACGGACTTGGACGTCCAAAACGAAGAGTATTACTAGTATCAGGTTCGGATCCATCACTCCCTTGGCCTAGAAGCGATTTGCACGAGTACAGAATAATGTACACAGTACTTAGGAATCTAACCGAGGCCCGCAGCTTTCATGGAGGTTCTCCTGCTTTTACTCCCTTCTCATATTCTTTCCTTGCCTTGTAACCTATGGGGTAGCGGCCTTACTTGCAGTGTTACTGACCACGGCGAAGTTTTCTGGGATGCTTAATCATGGTACTACAGTAGCTAAGAGATCAGTTGGAGTAGCTATTCATACACTTACCTTGGATACATTTCCATAAATTTCTTGGATCTCCGGCTAGTAATCTAAAAGTGACCAGCACTAGGATTCGCCACGCTGGAGCAGAATAATGATTACTCCTGAGATGAGGGCACTTGAGGAAGGTTTCCAGGTCAGAATTTGGCGCGTCAAACTAGCTGCTCCATTTATCACTATATAGGGAAGAATTTCCATCTTCGGACACTTTGGCCGAGTGGTTAAGGCGCAGGCCTGCTAAGCCTGTGGGTTCGCCCGCCTGGTATGTTCTACAACACTTGCCAACCGCAAATATTAGTGTCTAACAATCTATAACAGGGTTCGAATCCCAGAGGTGTCGTCTCATTTTTTTTTTTTATTTTTTGATCCTTTTTTTTATGTTCCAGACACTGATGCAACTTTGCTTTCCTGATATTGAAGTGCCAGTTGTGTTGAGCCTTGCTCAAACAACTTTCAGCAATGTACGCGCTAAACTAGCTGCTCCATATATCACTAGACTGGGAAGTACATCCATCTTCGGACACTTTGGCCGAGTGGTTAAGGCGCAGGCCTGCTAAGCCTGTGGGTTCGCCCGCCTGGTATGTTCCACTACGTTAACATAATCAAATATCAATTTCTAACAGTCTGCAACAGGGTTCGAATCCCAGAGGTGTCGTCTCTTTTCTTTTTTATTTTTTTGCCCTTTTTTTCTGTTCCAGACACTGATCAGGACTTCCTTCATCAACGTCATAGGCTAGAAACAGTCCATCTCCAATTGCTTAGTAGACATTCAATGTTCATTAAAGAATTATCGGGAGTGGGCCTGGAGCTTAGAACTTCCCTGAACGCCCCAGACTAAAGGCAATGGAGAGTTCAGCAGAATCACAAGAGGCTTCCAAGAAGCCATCGATGACTGCCGAGGGACCACACGAACGTGAAAGGAAAGCAATATTTGAGTTAGGCCCAGGTGCGTCCCATGCTTACCCATCAACGTACACCACAGCATAGCCAAGGCATTGTTAAAGATTGGTTAACTATCTGTCGAAAGGTACAAAGGGGCATACACGCTACATAAGGGGCGATACGCAGGCGCCAGTGAGGCACAATTTCAGGAGTCTGAGAATCTCTTTCTTGATTAAGTACATACATCCCGAGCGACTTACGCCCGGTGACAGTATCAGAGCTACTTTCCAAGCCATCATAATGGTAAAGAAAGAAGCCAAGAAAAAGAGGAAATAGACAGGACGGGAGCTCCCTGGTGCGGCTACTGGTAGACGAAATCTCACCGCTGACACCCGCTAAAGCACGAGCATGTACATTCGAAACTCCGAGATCTTTCCAATGATCCTTCGAGACCATGCCTCAGATGTGTCGTTTGATATGGGAGAGGAAATACGCCTTTTTTTGGAGGAGCCCAACCGGGTTTTCCATCAAGAGGCAACGTAAAAGGACCGTCGACAGCCAAAACCTTGAGCTGGACATGGCCGTCGCAAAGCGGCCTGCCTGCCTAGAGCTTCCTCTTCTTCAGAACAGTGTCCTCTGTAGCATCCGAATCTCTCCTGGAAGGTCGCTTTCCCTTGCCCTTAGTCTTCTTCCCTCCTGCTCCATCTGCGCCTTCGCCCAGCTCCTCGAGTCCCTTCTTGCCCGCATCCTTGAGATTTCCGACTTGATCATCATTCTGATCAAATGCCTTACGAGCCTCTTTCAGCTCGCGCTCCATCCGCAAGAGTTCCTGGACACGACCTAGTTTATTCGGGTCGCGCCTCAACGCAAAACGAAAGTCGTCGACCTTGATCTTCTGGCGACGGGAGTAGCTGGCATACTGAGCTGCATTGTGGCACATCTCAAGGACAAAGTCGGTGACGATCTCATCAAGAACACGGACAGTCTCGGGAAGGGGCTCAGATGGAAAGGATGGATGAGGGCTGGGATCTCCGTATGCCAGAAGAAGAAGACGCACTAGATAGCCATATATTAGCTGCAGAAGCCCTTTGCACACGCGACATCAAGTCCATAATGAAAAGCAGTCAGTAGTCACGTACGCTCCGATGCAAAATTCATCTGACCCTTGTGCCTTGCAGCACGTGCTCTAGGTTCCGCCATGCTGGATGGATTGTCTTGATTCTGCTTTTTCTTTTTCTTGAAATCCGTTTCCGACGCAGGATCTTCCTGTGCAGCTGGGACTTCTGGTTTGAAGGCTGGAATATATCCGGCGCGTATCAGGGCAGTCTCCTGGGGGTTAAAAGGCCAAGGAGGAGCGAGTTCGCTCGGCACATGGCCAGAACTGCCGGATCGTGCTGAGATTGATGGCTTTGGGGTGCGTTGCTGCGGTCGTGAGGATCTTTCTGCATTAACAGAAGATGAAGTATGATGAGCCGCGGAATTACTGATAGTGTTGCCTCTACGGACATGGCGGTGTCTAGAGCGGTGAGAAGGATTCATGTCGGCAGGACTGCTGAGGCGGTCAGAACTGTTATCACTGTGATCTGCCATCTTGGTGTGTGTGAACAGCAGGCATGAGACAGTGATAGCCGTCCTCAAAAAGCACAAACTGATTGATTGATCAATCGCGTAACTAGGAATTTTTGCCCGAGTTTGCGCGTAAGGAGGAAGGGTGGTGACCCTCTGCTACAGTCAAGATGGTGAGTTTAAAACGGAGTGAATACTCTCTTTACTTGAGAAGCCTCACCATCGCGCACCAGGCCAGAGTAAAGCTAACTGATGTCGCAGTCTGCCTTATTCAACTTTCAGTCACTTCTCCTTGTGTTCCTGCTTGTTATTTGCACAAGCACTTATGCGCACTCCATCATGCCAGGAATCATGGACCGCAACCAGCGTGGGTAGGTTCTCAGCAATCTGTCGTTTCACTTGTTCCTACCACAAATTACTCGATGACTGACATTCGCACCGTTCAGGTTCTTCGGGATATTCTGGAAGTGCGCTCGTATTGGAGAACGTCTAAGCCCGTACGTTAGTATTTGCTGCGTACTGATGGCAGTGAGTACACGCCGATTCTGCGTCATCATATCCGGCGCTTATTAGAGCTAACGATGGTATCAACTTCAGGTCTCAATCTTCTTTGGCGGCTGAAACGTATCCCTCAGCTCTATGTCTCATGCTATCAAATTCAGTGGCTTCCTTGACTTGTCGGCGTTCATTCATTTCTCCCCTTGTACCGAGATATGGAATATCATGCGTAGGGAGTTTGTCATGCTTATTTCTAATGTACATACATCCGGGTGATAAATTTACAAGAAAATTGTAGAAACGCTCTATATACCAATAGAAACACCTATGCTTTAGATGAGACTCCCTGCCCTTGGAAGTCATCCAGTTTTCCAGAACCCGCGCTTCTGATGCAATAACCATAAACGATAAGAAAAAAGACGTCAAAAGATTAGGGGTATCTTCATAATTTGGGCTTTAGTTTCTCCCTCAACCGTTTGAGCCCTTGATCCAAAAGCTCATCCCTTGTCTTTTTGTCGCTCTTTGGAGGTGCGAGTTTAGAGTCGGCCAACGTGGTGAGAGAAGGCTGTGATAGCTTGTCCAACTCTTCCAGAGCCACCCACAGTCGTTCAGGGTCTCGAAGGTAACGAAGAGCCTTCATGTTGTAGGAGTCAATGACGTATCCCGCGTCCTCCATCGCTTTGATTGTTTGGGCAAGGTCAAAAACTCTTTGTTTGCAGGCGTGACCACTGATGATAATATTCCAGGTGACCTTGTTGAATTCAACATTGTGTTCAGCCATCATCTCCTTCACTCTCTCTGCAGCGTGCGGTTGTTTGTTGAAGATAAAACAACTCATCAAAATTGTCCATGTTCGAACAGAAGGCAAGGCATGACCACTTGCTTGTTCGTGCATCGCCCGGTTATTGCTTGTTAGGGCAGAAGTCTGCAGCATATCTTCAACTACTCGCATAGCTGGTCGCAACCCCCGAGGATTGTCCCGAAACGCCACAAGGAACTCGTTATAAACGTGATCGCTTGCTGCCAGAGGAGCAATTGTGGGGTGTCCCTGCAGCACCAGGGAGCGAAAGTTCGTATAAAGGCGCTGAGCAATGGAAACACGCCTTCGACAGCGTAGGTATGTTGCAATCATGAGAAACAAAGCGATCGTGGTAGGTGGCGTATTGTCACCTCCCGGTGGAGGTGTGTATTCAGGTGGTAAGATAGAGAGCTCCTTCAAAGGAGTAATATCATGTAGCTTGTTATACATCTCGAGCATGGAATAGAACACCGCATCCGGATCGTCATCTGGATTTATATGCTTCGCAGTGAAAACGAAATGAGCATGGAAGATCTTACTTGTGATCCAAGGATTCTTCAGTAGCTCCTCGTTAGATTCGATCTCCCGAATCAAAGAACTGACGCGGTCTCGATTCCCTCGCGCAACAGCATCGTTGAGGAGGATCAAATGAGTGTAAGAGTCTGGTTCAAGGCCATTATTTTTCATATATTCCAGCATATCGAGCCCCAACTGCTCGTCACCTGTTTTGAAGGCATTGGACAAAACAACGTTCATCATATCCCGATCTGGCCGAACACCCATTTTGAGTAATTTGGGAAGAATGTAGAAATTTCGCCCTTCCGGCCCTTCTTGGACCGAATCAAGTGTGAGAAGCTTGCAGCAGTGGCGCATCACGCTCTGAGAATCCATCCCAAACTCAACCTGTTTCATTCGCCGCACGTTATCAAGAACGTCAAGTGCCTGATTGACGTCCTTGAACTCGATGAATCGCCACATGAAACAAAGATGGGTCTCCGCTTTGGTATGAATCTTGCGCTCACACACAAGTTTATAAGCATAGTAAATTGCGTCACGATCAGCGCGCTTCACATAAAGTCGAACGATTTTTTGCGGCAAAAAGAGGATTGGCCAATTGCGGGGTCCCAAGGCGGCATTGAAGACAGATTGATATGTGTGCGGCCCTTTTCTCCAGTCCTTGAGCCTGTCGTAATAGAACGAGTCCAAGAAAAGGAAGGCATCTGCAACCATCACAAAGACAGGCCTCTCCTTGCCATGAGTGGTCACTGAGAAAAATTCTAGAGCAAGCTCTGGAGTCTCCTTCAACAACCATAGGGATAGATTGTGCCAATGAAGGGCTTTGTCCCTTTTGCTTAAGGCCTCCCAAGCCTCACGGAAACTGCCTTGACTATCCGTTTTGAGTTTCTCTAGGAGGCCCAGCTCGACGGGGTTCGGTTTCAAGTCTCTCAAGAACTCATTTCGGATCTCTCTTTCGTAGAATTTGGACCTGTACAGATCGCTTTGTGCAATTCTCCATGTGCGTATATTCGCCCCTTCGTGAAAGAAGGTCTGAGATCTGATGCGCTTCTCCAGAGCCACAGTTTTAGGTCGGAGAACTCTTTGTCTATCCCTGGGCTGACCCCTAACCATGACCTTGGTTTTGTAGATTATGGCTGGCGCCGGACCTGAGGTGAAGATACTACTCCGTCCTGGGATCGAAAGCAGGCGTTTGAAGCTTGGAAATCTTGGTCGTCGGCCCGCATATCTTCCAACTTGATTAGGGGCAACTAGCTCCTGTTCAGCACAAGCAGAAGGATCCTCGAGCACTGTGGACGATTGCGACTCAATTAAATCAATCCCCGAGTGTAAATCGGGATTGAGAGTCTTATCGATGGTGGACGTTGTAGAGGATAATCTCCGAGGTACACTTTTCCGACAAGGATCTTCCGGAGTAGTATAGGGGGTCGTTGTACGGATAATAGCGGTATCAACGGCGGGAGGGAGCTGAGTTCTCGTATTCGACGCATCATTACCGGAATATAATGCTCTCGCGCCTTGAATGCCCGTCCCTGGTTGATACCATCTGTGGTGCGGATCCCAGGATGGCAGTCCAGCGCTGAAGCGGGAACGAAGGAGACGCTGCGGACAAAATGACATTCAGTACTTCTTGATCGCGTACATTGATGAATGATTCTGAACAGGATACTAGCGAATCCAAGAGGCGATGAGGACGACGAAGAAGAATCGGAGAGTGACAGTTTCATAGATCATTGCATGGATGGAACCCGCAGAAAATGCCGCCAATTTTGATCCGACGCGGATGTGGCTAGTGACAATTCAATTGTGGCGCACCACTTCCGATAAATCGTATGGATGTTATCAAGACCACAGAAAGTGATCGGGTACCTCATCTACTTGTACCAAAAACTCAGACCTTTTCTTTTGTCGCAAAGTCGCCTTGGGGCAAACTTAGCGAACTCAACACTTCTACAATCGAAGCCAGCGGTATTTCTCGAACCCCTGAATTTTTACTTTTCGTTGCTTTCCTTCTACTTCTTTCCCTCGAATACAATGTCGCTGAATCACACCTCCCTTGATGCGGCGGCATCAGAACGCAAAGCTCGTCTTGCGAAGCTTGCAGCTCTAAAGAGGAAGCAACCAGAACCGGAGACACTCACAGAGGCGCGTGCTGGAGACCATGAGCTTGAGGATGCCGCTCCCGATGTCACAAGAAAATACCTGTCCGGACGCAATTTCGATGCAGAAACTCGAGGGCCTAAACTGGGGTTTGATCAAGCGCCAACAGAAGGAGCGAAGACTCTTGAAGCGCAAGCTGCTGAGATAGCAAAGGCTACGGCGGAGCAGGCGAAGAAGGATGCGGAGAAGGACCAACCAATCGACCTATTCAAGTTGCAGCCAAAGAAACCTAATTGGGACCTAAAGCGTGACCTTGATGAAAAAATGAAAACTCTTAATGTGAGGACGGAAAATGCAATTGCGAGATTGGTTCGACAGCGCATGGAGAATGCGCAACGAGCAGCGAAGGCGCAGGGAACGACCCGCAACGAAGATGAACAGGGAGAGGAGGTAGGCATTGAAGGAGACATGCTGGTGGAAGGAATTCACGTCCGCGAGAGGGAAGAGGAAGAAGAAAGACGAGAAATCGACGAGGATTCATGATACCCATGAGGATTCGCACAGCTTGATCTATGGCCGTATATGCTTTTTTTTTATCATACAACACATTACTATGGCGCTGCAGAGCTGGTACTCGGGACGGTCAGAAACAGGCGTTAGCGGTCATCTGCATTTTGATTGCATGGATGTTAATGCAATTATGTTCTTCTGTATTACTATAGTACATTACTGGCTGGGATCAAGAAAGCAAAATATATTTTCCCATCCAGTCGAAGGTCTGAGAGGAAGATCTCCAAATTCTCCTTTACTCGACTTAATTGATTCCGACTCAGCGTTCCATGTTCATGGCCTGAGTCAGCGCCAGGCGCTTACTGTAAGGACTGAGGCTTCTTTCCCTTCGCGCTGAACCGGACATAGGTCCGCTGAAGGCGTGATTGCGCTGGCCGTCCAGGTGCCTCGACCGGCTCATGTTTCCCTCTGAATCTCTTGTTGGATGGTGCCGTCCCTTCACTGTATCTGGAGTCGCTGACCGCCTTTCTTTGGCAATTCGACTCTGGTCCATACTTAGGCTTCGTGTCCTACCCCTCCGGCTGCCGTCTTCAGAGATGTTCCTAGTTCGACCACGCTCGTCAGGGCTAGATTCCCGACGCCTTCGTCTTGTGTTCCTGTCTGTCTCCCATTCCCTCGATCGAGAGCGCTGTCGCCCACCGGAAGAGTAAGAAGAGTCCGTATGGTCGGATAATGAGTCCCTGTATCGTCTCTTTCTTGATTGCGGTTGAGGCGACGACATTGATTGTGCTCGGTCTCGCCCCCTACTTTCAGTATAAACTTCATGCCGTGGCGGCGAGACTGAATGCGATCGACTGGTCGATATCGTTGAGACGGACGATATTGAGTGGGATGACTCTGATCTACTCCGCTTCGGCGCATGATGGCCGTCATCAAATGGATCTGAATCCCCTAGCTCCCTCTTGCGACCTCGTTCCTCTCCTCGTCTTGCTAATATCTCATCGGCGACACCTCTCCTACCACCAATGTCAGCTAAGTCTTCCACACCCAATAACTCATGCACCAACGTACGACCCTAACAGTTCGTTTGGAACATCAGTCGTCAGCTTCGGTCGCAGATTGGGGTCTTGCAGTTGTTGTGTGCGAGAAGGTCGAGATGTATATGGTCGTTCCTGTGCAGATACCGTGCATTCATAACTGTAGTGTCGTATAAAGGAGTCAGTCAAATGCAGAATAGCCACCAAAATCTATGTGCTTATCTCGTTTCAAGCATTTTTGACACAGAGTGCTGGCAGTCGCCTTGGTAGGGCCTCTGATGCCTGGTGCGTTCCGATATCGATTCATCTGAATCAAATGATATGACGAGCCGAACAAAAATCGAAAAAATAATAATTGTACGAACGTGAAAGATACAATCTTAGAGATGCCGCAAGAAGTGCTTAAAAAAAGTACTCAGTCTCTCATCACTTAATTGACAAAGGCCAATTTTTCGAACACTGCAATCGCGATTCTCCGCGGCTATTCAGGCGGACCTGCCAGACAAGTGGGCCAGAGCGACTTACATACGCGCGCGGTTAAGCGCACCACTGAAAGAGGAGACAAGCGAATCCCAACCTGATCATCGCCTGCCTCGTTCCTTCTCAGCCCAAAGGACGAAAAGAGTTCAACCTATTCACCTTCCAGTAACCCCCTCAACTGTCTGGAACTCTTTATGACCCTTCATCTTTATTAGCAGGGTAACCGACCTCTCTTTGACCCGCTCCGATTTGGGTTGGACTAGGTTTTTTCTAGATACCCGTGGTGGGAGAAGGTGTCTCTCCCTTTGCCGAAATATTATATCAGAAAATCATGTACCAGTCGTTTTGACCATCGTGTAAGAACAGTCAATACTCCTGGTCGTTCCTCTTTTCCTCGCTTTCGCTTCTTTCAGATACTCGATCATCTGCAGGGCACGGCTCATTGTTCACGCAATATATCTGACGTTGAACAGCTTTCCATATGGCGAACTCCCCTTTTCAGAGATATGTCGTCATTCTTTTTGGGCTTGTGTGAAGTGGGATTTTTGAGTGGCTTCTTCTCAATTCGGAATTCGGTTTCATCCTGTTGAAAATAAGCCCAGAACCCGCAGCATATTGAAGCAGTCCGCAACCTTGTTCCCGGAGTCTTTCCCGAATCAGTACAATCGCACTTGGTTGAAGCGCACGCCGAAGGAAGGAGTTTCTGGCTAGATTGAGGATTTTAGTATGGTCATGGCTTCGGAAAATTCTACAGAGGCTGATCATCGCCTGTCTTTTGCGAAGGTATGTCCTGGTCCAGGTGAAGGCATAACGCCGTATTTGATGGCCTCTGGTTCTCTAATGATTATAATAGATAGCCGCAATGGCTCCGCCGTCGAAATCAGGAGACCTCGGGTCTGGCGAACGAAATGATGCACAGAACGCGGAAAGGCTTTCATGTCCAGACAGTCTAGCGCGAGCTGTACAAGACGTCCATATAACAGACACTACCGATAGACAGAGCCCCAGCTTTACTTCAGAAGTCGATGAACACGGAGCTCTCAAACGAGAGGCATCCTTTGACGATGATCGTACACATCTCTCGACGTCCTCAACGAAACAGACGAGTTTCGATTCGAAGAGTATGGCCTCAGTTACCACTTTCGCAATGGACGAAAAAGATTCTTTGCGACCCGACGATAGTGCCAGCGTACAGGCTGTTGATGAGGAAGAGTCTCTTTCGGGACCTGCATCAGGTGCACCGAACTCACTTACGGGATCAGAATCTGGTGTCCGCATATACAGGGATCATCCGCGAGACTTAAGTAGCCAAAAAACCCGGCCTGTTGTGCTTCCTGATGGCGGCCAGCGACCGGACGGGATAATTCACCCGGACTCCGTTGCAAATAATTTTGTCCTGCCTAGTAGTGCAGAAGGCTTTTCAGTTGAACACAGTTTGAATGGTTTCCCTCTCGAGCCGGACGAAAAGCTCCTTGAGGCGATGAAATCTCCAAAGGATCGTCTCTTGATTCTTCAGCTGGAGGAGAAAGTTCGCAGTTTCATTCAGAATTCGAAGTAAGTGAATGGCTTTTTGATCCTTGCGCTGTTCGTTTCGGCATCTGACGTTCTAATTTAGGGAGCAATCTCTGGAGCTTCCTCCTTCAAATGCCTTCGGAAGACTACTCGCGCACAAATTGGGTGATTATTATCATTTGACCCATTTCGTGGATAACAACGTTACGTCTGTCCGTCTCCATAGGACACCCTTTTGCCGATTGTATGCAATCCTGCGTGCCCTTGATTTTCTTTTACCAATTGAGACTTCGTTCTGACTGTTCAGACCGACTCCGCTCTCCGTTTTACATGCTACCACTCATAACACCCCACCACCAGCAGTCCCAGCCATGAAAATCATGCGCCGGAATGACGGGGATCGGCCTTCTACCGAAGGAAGCACTGCAGCAAGCTCTTCAGTGCCTTCAAAGACAGCATCGGAGGTAGGCGACAGTGGCAACGACGGCGAACGTGGTTCTTCAGCTGGGGCCACCCCTGCCAAGGACAGGATGGCTTTGACGCGAGAAGAGCGAGAAGCTAAGTACCAGGAAGCAAGAGAGCGGATTTTCCGCGATTTCCCTGAGACAAAACCCTCGGATATTAGTGACCAAGGGGCGAGTATGTCACGCTCGAGCTCAACAAGTGGACGCAAGAAAACACACCGACAGAAGACTCCACATGACGACAGCTTTGAGGCCCGGTCTCAGTTCAACGCCTACTATCCGGGAATGCAGTATAACAATGGAACTGTTCCCTATAATGTGGCACTGAATGATTCCTCATTTTCCAACCAAGCCCCATATATGGTAGGGCCCGGAATGTCTCCTCCGAATTATGCTCAGCCTGCTCCAAACAGTGCTATGTACCCCACCCAGGTCAATCTGAATTCCTTACCTCAATACTCGATACCCGTCTCTCCTCAGATGACATCAACTGGTTCATGGCAGAGCGGCGCTGTACCCCAGCAATCTCCTTATTCAGGATACACATCTATGAATCAGTCACCGGTGATGGTCACCCAGCAATCGTCGGCGAAGTCATCGCCTGCGCTGAACAACTACACCATCCCACCATATGCGCAGTCGCCGTCGACTTGGTCTTCGTCCCCGTATGCTGCAGGCTATCAGCCTACACATCGCAGCCATCCCACCGCTCATTGGCCGAATTATCCCTCGCAGCCGCCTAATCCCACTTCTTATCCTTATGCTCAATATCCAGGGCAACAATCGCTAAATACAGCCATGCAAGCTCATCCGAACTCGCACCCTCTTCCAGGCAGTTTTGCAAGATCCCCATTCAATCCGCAAACTCGCTCATTTGTACCCGGTGGGACTACTTTGGCTCGTCACCCGAGTAAGACAAGCCAACACCACATGAACTCGTATACCACCATGCAGCCCGGTATTCAGACTCAGTGGAATGGATATCAAGACCTGAATAACAAGTCTCAAGAGGGAAGCGCGATGGGGCAAGGCGTGACGCGCGGTGGCCCTCCCGGTAGCAGAGATTCCATCGCAAAATGGGGAACACCTTCTCATTTGCCCCCCAAACCACCACCATCCGAGATCCCCTCTGATTTCGAGTTGAAGCATCGAATCGCCCCTGCCCCATCGCACTCCTACAACTCCAACATACTGACCAACTCCAAGAACGGACCTCTTGTTGTTTCGGGAGGGACAAGTCTTCCCAAGGTGAACTAAATCTGCCACCCGACGATTTAGCTGAATGCTACCGCATCGTTCAACCCTTGTTATCTCTGGCAGATAGTAGTGTGAAATAGGCTGAGTGAATGTTTGTTCGCTCAGATCGACAACATAGAAGAAGAGGAGATGGGAGTCATGCTATGAATACGCAAATAGTTGGCTTCATACACCTGCTGTCTCGTGGACGGACTGGCTGAGAAGGGCTGGTTTGCCATATTTTCGGCTATTGATAGTATCGCCCACTTTAATTGTTGACAAAAAGAAGATGAAAATACCTTCC